TGGGATTACAAGTGCCCACCACCACACCCAGCTAATTTTTTTTTTGTATTTTTAGTAGAGACGGGGTTTCACCATGTTGGCCAGGCTATTACTCAGGTAATCTGCCCACCTTGGCCTCCCAAAGTGCTGGGATTACAGGCGTGAGCCACCGCGCCTGGCTACCCACCTCTTTTACTTTTTTTTTTTTTTTTTTTTTGAGTCAGAGTCTTGCTCTGTCCCCCAGGCTAGAGTGCAATGGTGTCATCTCGGCTCACTGCAACATCCACCTCCTGGGTTCAAGCAATTCTCCTACCTCAACCTCCTGAGAAGCTGAGACTACAGGCATGTGTCACCGTACCCGGCTAATTTTTTTTTTTTTTTTGTATTTTTAGTAGAGACAGTGTTTCACCATGTTAGCCAGGATGATCTTGATCTCCTGCCCTCGTGATCCACCTGCCTTGGCCTCCCAAAGTGTTGGGATTACAGGTGTGAACCACCGTGCCTGGCTGTCTTTCACTTTTAAGGATCTCTGTGATTACACTAGGCCCATCGAAATAATCCAGGGTAATCTCTCCCCACCTTGAAGTCCTTAACTAAATCATTTGTGCAAATTCTATCTTGCAATATAAAATAAAATATTCCCAGGTGCTAGGATATCTCTGAGGAGCCATTATTTTGTCTGCCCCAAGGGCAGAGATGGGCTGAAAAGAAGCTTCAAGTATCAGCAAGAAGGCTATGAAAGTTACTGTCTGAGGCACAAGCAGTTCCAAAGCACAGCTCCAATCAAACCACTTAGTGTACAGGTTTCACAACTACATTCCGGACGCTTTTCAATTTAACTCCCACTACACTTGCCCCATACTCTGTATGGATCACTTTAATACCATCTTTGTTGTGAAGTGAAGCCTTCCCACTGTCCCCGAGAGAATCAGTAGTTCCATTGTCAGTAAACAAGAAGCACTCTGCCCATGCCCTATTCTAGCACAATACTGCCTTAGAGTACCAAAATTTGTCTGTCTCTTTATGAGATAGTGAACCACTTGAGAATTAGGACAATCTCATTCTACATCCTGGCAAGAGGCTAGCAAGGTGCTTAGTACTTCATATTCCTTCACTCTGACATCCATCTATACTTAACTAGCACTCACAACGACAGGCATGACCTAGTCAGGAACAACATTTCACTTCGGGACATCAAGAACACGTTCATTAGAAAAGAGAAAAGGGTCTTTTCAAGCTCTGAACAGGTTTACCAGTATTTGCTTCAGCAAAAGGCAAGGTATGATCAGCAAAAAAGACCCAGCAGCCACAAAGTTAAAACTCAGTAGCCAACAGACATGGCAAAGATATATTTAAAGATACAAAAGGCAAAGATTCTGCATCTGTCAAAGCTCAGCAAATGTACACTTAAGATTTGCACTTTTCATTTTAAGTAAATTCTACATCAAAAGAAAAACCTAATCAAATATAGAATTTTAGTTAATTATACACATGTATTCTGAAATTTTTACAGATAATGTACCCCATGTCAATTTACCCTGAAATAAATTTAAAAAATACAACAAACTGATGGATAAGAGAGAAGACAGATGGGTATGTGTCAAAATTAGGTATAGTACAATATTAATGGCAAAGTCTTGATGGGAAGGTTTATAAGTATTCACTGCAAACTTAATTTAGCCGTATGCTCAACATTTTTCATAATAAAATATTGAACAGGAAATGATAGGATGAGGCAGCAAGGAGATATTGTGTGGAAAGAAGCAAAAATAATGCTCTGGGATATTCATTACAAGTCAAAGAGGCACATGTATAGACAAAGGTGGCCTATATCACACCTAGTTTCAACCTTGCTTCATAGCCAGAAGAATTAAAAACCCTGGCTGACATGAGACATGCTAGAAAGAGTATTGCTGATGAAAGTTAAAGAGTCTTGTAGGCACAACAGAGATATTAACAATAAAAAACTTCTTTTTCCTTAAAATAATGTTTTTTGTTCTTTTTTTTTTTTTTTGAGATGGAGTTTTGCTCTTGTTGCCCAGGCTGGAGTGCAGTGGCACCATCTCAGCTCACTGCAACCTCTGCTTCCTGGGTTCAAGCAATTCTCTTGCCTCAGCCTTCTGAGCAGCTGGGATTACAGGCATGTGCCACCACACCTGGCTAATTTTGTTTTTTTAGTTAGGGACAGGGTTTCTTCATTTTGGTGAGGGTGGTCTTGAACTCCCTACCTCAGGTGATCCACCCACATCAGTCCCCCAAAGTGCTGGGATTACAGGCATGAGCTACCATGCTCAGCAAAATGTTTTTTAAAAAACCTAAAATGTTATTTAACTATATGCTATCAAAGCTTTGGTGTTTGAATTATTACTTGATAAAAACCAAGGAAACCTATCTTTAGGAGCCTTTTTCTTTTAACAAAACCTTTTCCTCCTTTAACAGAAACTGGAGAAATGAACCACTTCCAAGCCACTTTAAAGAAGCATAAAGATACAAGCCGGGTGCAGTAGCGCACGCCTGTAATCCCAGCAGTTTGGGAGGCCAAGGTGGGCAGATCACCTGAGGTCAGGAGTTCAAGACCAGTCTGGCCAATGTGGTGAAACCCTGTCTCTACTAAAAATACAAAAATTGGCTGGGCGTGGTGGCATGTGCCTGTAATCCAGCTCCTCAGGAGGCTGCGGCAGGAGAATCACTGGAACCTGGGAGGCAGAGGCTACAGTGAGCCAAGATTGCGCCACTGCACTCCAGTTTCGGCAACAGAGCGAGACTCCATCTCAAAAAAAAAAGAAAAGAAGAAAATAAAGGAAGCACAAAGCTATAAAGGAAAGAACAAGGTACCTGGGTATTCTTTAAAAAAACTGTCAGATTTTCTTGGCCAGGTGTTGCAGCTCATGCCTGTGATCCCAGCACTTTGGGAAGCAAAGGCGGGTGGATCACCTGAGGTCAGGCGTTTGAGACCAGTCTGGCTAACATGGTGAAACCCCATCTTTACTAAAAATACAAAAAATTAGCTGGGTATGGTGGCGGGCACCTGTAATCCCAGGTACTAGGGAGGCTGAGGCAGGAGAATTGCTTGAATCCGGGAGGCGGAGATTGCAGTGACCTGAGATTGCGCCATTACACTCCAACCTGGGCAACAAGAGCAAAACTCTATCTGAAAAGAAAGAAAAAAAGAAAAAGAAAAAATTCTCAGATTTTCTTGACAACTGGATAAAATCTATAAACAGAACTGTTCTTATTCTTACTTACCCTTTATTCTTCTACATTGCCTAGTAAGATTTTGACGTTTTTCTCATATATTTCACATATATTTCTAGCCAAAATTATTTTCTTCTCATTTTGAAGACTTTTTAAAAATATAAGTATGTGCTAACTTGTTGAGGATAGTAAGTCAATCTGTTAGCTTATATATTTCAGTCACTTTACTACAAATTATTGATAATAATTGAATCTCTTCTCATTTTGGCAACTTATTACTTAATAAGGATAATTTCGTAATCTCTTTTCCAGAAGGTAAGCCTCCTATCAACTTAAATACTGGCCTAAGTAGAATTTCCACACCGTGCTTCTATAAAATATTGATAAGCACACATTCTCATTTAATTTATGATGCGTATCTCAAATCTCTGCCCTTGTGACTGCCAGATGCTAAGAGCTAAAGAAATGTGTGCTGAGAGAAATAATGAAAAAATAAATGTCATTTTCCAGAAGAGGCAGGAGCGTGTGCAACTTACCATCCAGAAGGGCTCTGCAAGATGGAGGGACAATTTTAACAAAACAGAAGAGATTAGTTATGTCATAGGTGAAAAGTTAGTGTTGAGGTGATTTTAAAGGGCGTAGGGAAGAGGTGTGCTATCCAGTTCTGGGAGAGCTAACTGCAGTCGTCTCTAACCTAGTAACACTTGTTGGCTGGCATTCCGGGTGACATCCTGCCATCTCTTTTACTTTTATTTTTTTTAATTAACAGTCTCTTTCTGCTAATAACGTATAGCTAGAGTTCAAAATGTTCACCTTCTGCATACTCTTCGGGTGGGATCTACGTACACAATCTTGATGTTAACCTTATCTGTCAGATGGCGTATATATAATTTTATTGAACAAATCTAGTGTCAAAGGAAAATAAAAACATAGTAATTAAATTTATGATCTGTCTCTGAAAATAAAAAAAGTAGATTAAACATACAAACATACCTCCAGTTAACCTATTTGATTAAAAAACAAAACTGAAGATGAGGAAGCTAGGAGCTAGAGATGCAGGGTTTGTTTTTAAAAAGACCAGCCACAAACCGGCTTCACCATTTCAGCAGATGACAGAAAGGCCAAAAGCAAGATTCTGAACGTCCATCCCAGCTGAGGGGAAACATGGAAGGAAGGAGAGAAGAAACCTTGTTTTATATTACTCAAAATACCTGGTTCAAACTTACCACCGCCGCCGCCCGCTCTACGTCAGTCTCCAGGTGCAGCCGTTATTCTCCACAGAACAAGAGCGTCCGCCGTGAACGCTGGGGCCGCGCGAGGGAACGAGAGTGACTCAGGCAAGGGGTGACCAACACCGTTAAATTTTTCATTGACAAAATTACAGTCCACCTAGAAAAACCAAGCTGATACGCCGCAACACAACTAAAGAGCTCAACGCGCGCCTGATCGATGCAAAAACGCACAATTCGGCACTTCCGTACCTGCAATAAGTAACTAGAAGGTTCGACGGGAGAAAGCGATCCCGTCACAAAGGCAGCAGCAACTGCAAACCAGAGAACGCGACTCCATTCACCGGTGCCGCGCGAAAAGCGGCGTTAGATCCGAGTCCGAGGCCAGCCCGGCGCGGCGGCGCCACCTCCGCCCGGCCGCCACCTCCGCCCCGCCTGACGTCACGCACGCTCACGCGACCCGCCCCCGGCCCCATCACTCCTGCGCCCGCCCCTGCCGCGCTCGCACGCAGACGCACGCGCTCGCACGCAGACGCATCCGCTGCACACACCGTTACGCACGCGCCCCAGCCCCGCGTTCAGTCCGCGCCCCCCCGCCCCCTGGCCCGTCAAGCGCGCGCCGTGGGTCCCTCGAGCCGGCAACCCCTCACTGGCGTCCCAACGGACCCTCCGTGCCAGAGCCTGCGGGACTTCAGCCTTGACAGCACCGCCCAGGCTCCTCCGCGGGGCGGCGCGCGGGCTCCTGGGAAATGTAGTCCGGCCCCGCGTCTCCCTCAGTCCAGACCGCCGACACCTGGAGGCAGGCGGAGATGACCGGTGAGCGTGCGGGGCGGTGGCTCTTTCACCCGAGACGAGTCGCTCGTGGGCTCAGCCTCGCCCGCCGAGTCCTCCTTCGTGCAGGAGTTGCTTCACCGGAGTCTGGGCAGCGGGGAGCCTTCCCGGGAGGCGGCAGTGGGAGAGGCCCTTGAGGGAGGAGGGGCCCTTTACCGGGTGCTAGCGGCGCGCGGGAAGCGACTGGGGAACAGCGGCGCGCGGGGAGGAGGGTCCCGGGTTGGCTGCGGGTGGCACGCAGTGAGCCCCGGGGGGCTGCGGACGCGCGTTTGCCTTGTCTAAGCAGCACAGAGAGGCTGAGCGTGCGCGCCTCACTGTCCAGCAGCCTCCTTGAATTTCTAAATCTAGTAATGGGTTGAGTCACAGCCATAGTTTGTCTACTTTTCAGCTGTTGCGATAGGTGTACTGTCCTTGCCCATTACACTAACAGGATTTTACAAAGTTGTTGAATAATTTGGACAGCACAGTCTCTCATCTATTCTGTAAAACAGTTCCCACCCCGACCACTGCCCACCCCCTCCCACCCCGCACCCCCCAACCCCCACCCCGCTCTGGAAAGTTTGGTCAAATTTACATGTAGAACCTTTGGTCTTAGAATTTTCAGTACGTATTTAACTTCTGACTCAATTTTTTAAAAGTCTCATTGAATAGTTTTTTTAGTTCGTATTGAGACAGTTTTAGGTAACTTTTCCTAGATAATTGTTTTTAATCTTTTTTAAATCTAATTTTTCATATTTGTTGGCATAAAATTGACCTTGCTATTTTATCACTATAAGTAATTTTTATGGTGATTTTTAAGATTACGATTTTTAATATTTTAAAATAACTGCTGTAATTGTAGTTGTTTTTTGAACCTAATTATCTAGGCCTTTTTTCTTGATTACTCCTATGAGGTGTAAGTGTACATTAGTCTTTACAAAGATGTAAATTTGGGTTTTTTTGTTGTTTTGTTTTGGTCTTACCTTTTTTGGGGGAAGGGCCCCGGTTACAGTAAGTTTTGCTCTTAATTTTTAAACTTTCTTTTACTTTGTTGCTATTTTCTACTTTTTTTTTTTTTTTTTCCG